GACATTCACCAACCATTTATCCATCACCTTTACCATTCTTCTAGGTAACACCTTCTTAATGAGGTTGTAACACTCTCAAGAGGCTAATAGGACAGAAGTTCTTAATGTTAACCACCCCCTCCCACCTTAACAATTAGTATAAAAAAAGAATAATTTAAGGATTTTCATAGAAAACCCCGCCTCATGCAGTTCCTTAAATAACTCTACAATATCCTCTTCCATCACATACCAAAATTTTTGCAGAAAACCCATGTTAGAACCATCGGCATCAGGAGCTCTATTCTTTCTATAATGTATTAACTCTTCAAAGATTTCCTCTTCAATGAACTCTTTTTTAAGTGATACGAGATTCATCTCATCCAAGGAATTAAAATTGAGACCATCCAGCTTAGGCCTCCAACTAAACTCCTTGTGGTATAAGTTATATAAAAAATCTCTAACTCCATGTCTTGAACTCTTGTTACCCTTCACCAACTTTTCATATATCTTCCATATAGTTAGTCATCCTACGATAATATGCCATACTATAGTAGAATTTGGTATTTCTGTCTACTTCCTTAATCCGCCTGGCTCTTGATTTCTATCTCTAAGAAATCTCCTCCATTTGCAGTCTGCTTGTTAATTCAATTTCAAAAATTCTATGCGAGCCAAATCTTTAGTAGACAAAACACCCTCACCTTCCATTCCACCAAAAAAACAACTAAAAAACTACTAAAACTACAATAACGTATTTCTAAATATTGTAATAATTTTATATTTAAGAGAATTGTAATTTCCAATCTACTCAAAAAATTTAAACTTGACTCATTCTATACCATTCTCCTCTAGTTGGAGAAACTCAACCACGAGTCTTAAAGTGGAAAATTATGTAAAATCTTTAATGTTTGAGCTTTCCTTGAAAATTTGATAAACTTTGCTTTGGCTACTAACTTCAATGTTAAAACTAACAGAAACACAAAATTGTTTAAGATGTGAAAATCCTGGTGGGAGGATGGGATCAACATATTGACAAATTTATGTTTCAACTTCATTGCTAGACCCAATTATTAGATTAGGTTCTTCCTTCACTAAACTTTAGTAAAAGTCTGTTTAGATAGTGAAAGGCCTCAAGTAATTTGTAAAATAAATACTCTGAGGAAGACAAGACAATTCTTCTTGTTCATGAACTTTAACAAGTTTCTACTTTTTATACATATCTTCTATGGTCATAAGTCCTAAACTACATCCTTTATACTAAGTACAAAATGATAACTACTGGAGGTATTGTAATATTGAATCATGTCAATCATTAAACTAAGTTGACCTCGAAGAATATGTGTGAATATTATTGGAACTACATCATACAAGATTAAATTACTATAGATTCCACAAAAAATAGAAACAAGACCTTATTGAATTATCAAAATACTCACATTATCTATCGAAGCTAGTTTATCTAGTCACATATATGATTGCATAGAAAGATTGAGTCATTCAAGTGTAGAGATTGAAACAAAATTCTTGCAAGAATCTTCATGAATGACCAGCTTTTACCTTTATCCACACGAACAAAGGATTCAAAAATTGGAGAATGCTTTCAATTTTCCTTCACTTTAACTATTTGATTGTGCTTAGCTACAACCAATAAAGGCTTTGTCAATTCAGTCATTTGAGAATGACAACTTGTTCTTTTCCTTAGTATCCCACATGTTTAAAACTTTTCCCCTAATATGAGTGCAACTTTGGTGAAGATGATTGCAAAATAAAAAGATAGTCAAAAAGTTTCCTTGGAACCGTTTGGATTGCTAAAAACTAGTGGAAAAGGTTGAATGGGTCTAGGTGGACTGTTTTGGACAAACCCAGTTAATAAAAAGTCAAGCAAAACATGATGTTGCAATCTCCAAGTACGAGTCTCACACGCCAAAGCATGAGTCTCACGCGTTGGCTTCCAGTCATCAAAATGATGGTGGGCTTCTAGTAATCGACTTGACTAGAGGTGGAGGTTGCAAGTTCGACATCAATGCGAGACATGACTAAGAGAAATGTTAGGGTTGAGAGTGTCAACGACTAGGAGAACTTGCGACAACAAGTGGCATGTTTTCTGATGAAGTTTCATAATAGGGCTTCAAGGATTTCTCGACTGGGGAGCTTTGGTGCTAGTCGTAGGATAGTGTCACTCACTACTTGGTGGTGGCTAGTGAATGGATTGGTGGCTGTTTAGAATTGTTTGTGTCTGTGATTTTTTTTGTAATTTTTTATATGGGTTTTGGGTGTATAGTGTATGCGCTTATAAATCTGATACCAACTAATATAGAACAAATTAGGGGTGATTTGTCTACAAAAGAATTTAAATGCAAAAATTTTAATGTCATACCTAGTGTTTCTTAACTACCACATGTAAAAAATCTTAAGCATCAAGTAACCAAAACTAAAAAAAAAAACTCAAAATATTTTATTGAATAACTAAACTTTGTTTCAAAAGTAAGATTCTAGAAGATATATAGAGTGCTTCCTAACTAATATTACCTAGATAAGATCAGACCAAGAAATTCAAATATTAATTTTACTACTAATGCAAATAGAAAAACTAGATACTAAGAATAATAAAATCTTATGGTTAATAAAACTATAATAATGATCTCCTAAATAGTGCAATAGTTTTATATTTAAAAAAGTTATAATTCTAATATATTTAGGCAATTTAAACCAGACCCATTTAGCATCATTTGCAAGCCCTTTTTGTTATTTTTGTTTTCTTCATAGACATCACGTGACCATAGGACATGTTAATTCCAGAAATATGGAAAGTAAATAGAAATAAAACCAAAATTTCTCACAAGTTTAGTTTTGGCAACTAAACATGCTTCACAAATTTCTTTTGTTGGAGAAAAATGTAAAATTTTTTATTAGAAAAGATATGATTAAAAGGTACACATTAATATTAGATGATAAGAGATCCTCCAATCACCAAAAAAAAAAAAAAAAAAAACCAAACAAAATATAGGATAGGACAACGGTCTATCCCCATATAGAGAAGATAAAGGCATACCCTAAAAGAAATGGTGAGCCTTAGTCAAAACAGAAGCATAAAAATTTATTTTTTTGAATATAGCTTGAGATAGTTTTTTTTTTTTTTAAATATAAAAAAAATATTATTATGTACAAAGATATCAAAGGAGTACTGCTCATGTACAAAACATAATTACAAGTCAATCAAATGATCCATAACGCACCCAAAATCATCTCAATCTTTGATATCATGATTTAACAAAATAGAACCAAAAATGTGAATTCATAGATCTCTAATATTTGTAAAATAAGTTTCAATACCCTCAAAATCTCTTGCATTTCTTTCTTTCTACACAACACAAAAAATAGTTAGTGAAATAAGGAACAAATGTTTTTCTTTTCAAAAATGTTCATCCAAGCCCACAACTCTCTACTCACATTATCAGCCATCACCCAATTTAATCCTAGCAAGCAAAAAATAGTAGTTTAAATGCTGTAAGTCGTCGGACACCTCAAAAGTAAGTGGTTGCACGTCTCCTTATTAGATTTGCATAGGCAGCATCTGTTAATGTTGACACAACTATTTCATTTCCTAAATGACCGCATTATTTTTACTATATAGTTCTGCCATTAATACTCTCATAATATTATAATCTTTATTATAAAGAAAATTTCTTTATTTGCACGTAAGAATTCTTGTATATATATGAGCATTTGTAATAACAAAAATATAGTGAAAATAAAGAAAATATTTATCCCAAATTTCTACATGGTATCAGAGCAGAGTAAGGGAATTTTAAGATTTTATTTTTAAGCTTTTTTTCAAAACTCTAGAATCTTCTCACCAACCACCCAAACAGAGGGATAGACTCACCAGGTGACTGGCCGCCCTACTCTGGCTCTATCTCCACCCTACCCGACCTGTTTGCTCCGTCTGACTGCAACAGCTCAAGCAGCATTTCATGCGTAGCTCTCTGGTTCACGTTCCCGACTCATACGGTTCGCGTACCAAATCGTCTACTCCTTTGCACACATCCCTTTGCTTGCTCCGCCCGCCTATAGCGATTCACGCGGCCCCTCGCACGCAACCCTCTGGTTTGCGTTTCGATTCGTCCGCTTGCAATGGTGTGTGCTGCTTCCTTCTCTGGCTCGCGCACACCTGACCCGGTCTGACGGTGCTTCCTGCCAGTTTCTTTGCACACGACGCACACACCCAGCGCAACTTTTGGTTTGCGCACGGCCGCTGTTCTTTCGCCGTGTTCCCTCGCATGTGGCGTCTGATTCCTTGGGTTTCCTCGGCCACTCCTCTGGGTTGCTTCGGTTTTGGTTTTCAGCTTCTATGGTATCAACTTCTGCTTCTCCTATACTGCTTTTGCTTCATAACCTATAGATTGTTATTTTTCTGTTGTTCCAGCAAAGAGCCATTCATCGGGTTTTTTTGTCTTCTTTTGTTGTTCGGCCTCCTCTTTTTTTGCAATCTTGTATTCCATTTCAGTAAGGTCTCTCTCTGTTTTTGTGATCTGCTATTGCATTCCAGTGCACACTTCAACTCTTGTTTTCATTTGCAACATTTTTGACATCCTTGATACTAATCAAAGGGACTTTTCTATCTTGTTGAGATTAGTAGTTGAGTATTGTTCTTTCTCTGTCTTCAGTTATTTTTTTAAATAATGACAGGAGTGAAGAAATTAGTTGTTTCAAGTACGAGTAACCATTCATCAACTATTAGTACGTATAAAATAGTCAACTCAGGTATTGCTCATCTCCCTACTATTTCCAATTATGATATTTGGATTATAAACTCTGAACTTAATAGACACATGACAAGCTCTTCTAAAGACTTCATAACCTATTTGCCGTATACTCAACGGGAAAATGTTCGTGAGCAGATGGATCATATACTCCTGTATCTACAACAGATTTCATTAATTGAACTCGATCATTATACTGTCTTCAATCGTTCATGTGCCTAATTTTTCTGACAATCTCTTATCCATTATCTTTACTAAAGATTTTAACTGTAAAAATTGAGTTTTTTCCTAACCGTTGTGTCCTTCAGGATCTTCAAGTGAAGAAAAACCATTAGCACTAGTAAACTGCAAGATGACTTATATGTTTTGAATAGAAATCGAAGCGGAATTGAGCATCAAGCTACTTTCGAGATGCAGATGTCAATAGGAAAATCATACGGTTGTATCTACAGTTGAAACATCCTTTCTTTTGTGAAAAAAAAAAATTATAACCTACGTTATTTAAAAAAACTTATATACATCTCTATTTGTGATGCATGTGAGTTACCTAAACATATAAAAAGTTCATATCGTGTGAGCAACCATAGAAGTCCTACCCTTTTTATGACAATTTACCCTTATGTTTGAGAACCTACTCAGAATACATCTTTATCTTATCATAGATGATTTGTTACTTTCATTAATTGTTGCACGCAATTAACATGAATTTATCTGTTGAAAGGTAAAAGTGATGTGTTTTCATATTCAGTTATTTCACAAAATGGTATATACACAGTTTAATACTCAAATTAAGATTATAAGAACAGATAACGGTACAAAATATATGAATAGTGGATTTTGTACCTACTTGGTGTCCAATGTGATAATTCACCAGACAAACTGTGCCTGCACCAGTGAACAGAATAAGCTTGTTGAAAAAAAAAAACATACACATACTGGAGATACCTCGGTTATTAATGTTTACCATAAATCTACCTAAAAATTATTGGGAATATACAATTCTCTCAGCCGTCTACTTTATTAATAGAGTGTCTTTGCAGGTTCTTAATTTTAAAAGTCTTCTAGAGATTTTGTAAGGTACAAATTCTTATACTGTTTTTCCGAAAATGTTTAGATATGTTTGCTTTATTTGTATTAGAAATGTGAATAGATTGGAACCTAAATATCTTAGGTGTGTATTTGTTGAATATTCTCGTACTCAAACGAATTACAACTGTTATCATCCACCATGTAGAAAATACTTTGTGACTATGGATGTTACTTTTAGGGAATCTGAACCATACTTCAGCTCTACTCTAATACCTCTTTAAGGGGAGAGTGAAATGGAAGAGGTAATACCCAGTTTAGTAACTCTTGATAGTCACATTCAGAGAGAGAATTTTATGACAAAATCTTAGTCAAGAAAAAAATATTGGACAACTGGATAAAACAGACTTGAAGAGGTATTCGATGAGAGACAAGATAGGAAAAACCATCATGCAATCTATACCAGGTCAAGAATCTTCTTCAGTTCCTGAAGATACTGGTGAGTTTTTGGCTTGTGAATTATCTGATAAACTCATTGCTCGTAGAAAATGAATTAGAAATTGCACTAAACAACATATGTCTAATTTTGTTTCTTATGACTCTCTATCCTATAGAGCTTTTATTTTATCTATTTTCTCTGTCTATTCTATAGGATTGAAAAAAAACTCTAAGAGATTCCAAATGAAAGGAAACAATGATTGAAAAAATGAAAATGTTGGTAAAAAAATGAAACATGAGAGCTTGTTTCAACCCCACAAGGAAAGAAAATAATTAGTTATAAATGGGTATTCAATGTAAAACACAAAACGGATAGATCGATTGAAAGATACAAAACTAAACTAGCGGCTAAATGGTTTACTTGGACTATTGAGTTGACTACTAGGAAACCTTTGTACCTGTCACAAAAATGAACAAAATCAGAATATTAATATCCTGCACAGTTAATTTTGATTGAGACTTACACCAATTTGATGTAAAAAATATCTTCCTCAACGGGAACTTAGAGGTTGAGGTATACATGAAAATTTCACATAGATTTGAAGATGAAAAAATACAAGAAAAAGTTTGCGAATTAAAAAGAGCCTTTATGGATTGAAGCAGTCTCCAAGAGCATGATTTGAAATGTTCAAAAGAGTGATGATTCCTTTCGGATATCATTAAAGAACTACTGACTATATCCTGTTCATTAAGTATTGTGAAGGTATGATCACTCTTCTCATTATTTATGTAGATAATATTGTGGTGACTGAAGATGATACAAAGGAAATGTTTCGATTAAAGGAATTTCTTGGTCAAGAATTTAAAATTCATAATTTAGAAAAATTGTAGTACTTTCCTGCGAATTGAGGTTGTCGGATCTAGTAAATGAATCTTCATTTTTACAAGAAAATATATCCTAAACTTACTAGCCAAATCCCCAATTGAAAGTAATCACAAATTACAAGCAGGTAGTGATACATCAGTTGGTATAAAAAGATATTAGAGATTAGTTGGAAGACTCATTTATCTCTCACATAGTAGATCAGATATAGCATATGCAGTTAGTCTAGTGAGTCAATACATGCATGATCCTCTCGACACTCATTTATATGTCGTCTTTCGAATACTACGATATCTGAAATCTACACCAGGAGAAAGTTTACTTTTTTCTATAAATGACCACCTTAAGATAGAAACATTTATAGATATTAATTAGACTGAATATCTGGATGATAAAAGGTCAACCGCCGATTATTGCATACTCGTCGGAGGCAGCTTGATTACATGGAAAAGCAAGAAGCAGAGTGTAATTACCCATTTTAATGTTGAAGTAGAATATAGAGTAATGGACCAAGGGGCATGTGAATTATTACGGGGTGCAAAAACTAATGAAAGAATTAAAACTGTTTAAAGAAGAAAGTTTATAATTGTCTTGTTTTGTGACAATAAAACAGCTATTAGTATTATCTAAAATCCAATTCAATATGACCGAACGAAACACATTGAGATTAACCATCACTTCATAAAAGAAAAAGTGGTTAATGGCTCCTTATGTTTATATCATGCGTCGTCTACCAATTAAATAACAGATATCTTCATCAAACGATTTTGTAACAAAACTCTTTAGAACATGATATGCAAGTTGGGCATGTACGATATCTTTGCCCCAACTTTGAGGAGTGTTGACACGAATATTTCGTTTTCTAAATGACCATATTATTTTTTCTATATAGTTCAGCCATTAATTTCTCTCATTATATTGTAATTATTTAGAATTCCTATTATAAAGAAAATTTCCTTATTTGTACGTAGAAATTCTTATATATATATGAGTCATTTGTAACAATAAAAATATAATGGAAATAAAGT